AGTTAACGGCCACCGGTTTGTGCCCCGTTTGCACGTGTAACCGCTAACCATGTGATCCATGGTGTCCACTCCGGATTTATACTTATTCTAGTCCAGAATTTGAAATGGCTTCGATGAGTCGACGACGGAATTGTAATATTCGGTCGAGATGAGAACCACATTTTTTTTTCTTTTTTGGCACGTTGAGCATAGTGCGATGTTATTATTGTAGTAACCGAATACTGTACTGAATACATCTCGCTTTGGGTCCAACATCTCCTTCGGTATGCAGGCTTTGTTTTTGCGCATGGTTCCTAAATATGCCAACCGTTTTGTCACCAAAGCCGTGGCCAAATCAAAATACGAGAAGAAATTATAGGCATATATTGTTCGTTCAGAACCGACGTATTTTTCGACCAATTTAAGAACAACGTTCTCGCCTTGATTTACCGCACACGCTTCGTTTGCCTGTTTTCCAACATACACAGAGAAATTTTCGTTTTCAAATTTGTATGGGACGTTTTACTTTTAAAAACGTTTTGACCCAGGTTTTGCACCTACAATATTTATTTAAATTTTGAAAACGATAATTTTCAATTCAAATTTCAAAATCTATGTTTTTGTTTTTGATACGAACATTTTCAAATCGTTTTTAAAAACTTTTGTTTGATAATTGAATATGCGTATGTTGAAATTAATTCCTAAAATGTTTTTTCTTCATTTTAAAAATGTGCGTTTTCAAATTTGATATTCAAATTTTATTTTTATTAAATCACAACAAGTCGTTTGGTACACACATTATCAAAAATATATTGATATGTATACATCTCAAGTAGCACAAAAGTCAAAAATAGACCAAAATATTTTGTGTATTTTTTACATCGGCGTGATATACATTTTCAATATAAAAAATATGCTATTTCTAAGCGCAGTTTTTGAACAGTTTATTTCGATTCAGTGTAAAAGTTATACCGCTTGTTCGTGCATTATTTACACGTACCTTCAATTTTTTTTACTGATTTTCGGCATATATATTATGCCAGTGGTATACAAGTTTTCTTGTTTCTGGAACATAATATAAACTCCGTTGGTGTAAAATACGTATTGGTATTGGCTCAAATCATACACCATAATGGTAAAGAATTTACATCATATTCTAGCATAAATATATTTTCATGAGTGTGAAGGGTACAAAAGGATTCGAGGAATAAAATTTACTACTAATCAAATTTAAAATTAACTCAGACATACACCGAAGCTCTTTTTTAATCTGNCGCCTAAAAATTTATAAGGATTTAAAGATTTTTAAATAAATCCGGGAAAACTTATATTTTGAAAGCCATGAATTTTTCGCCATTATTAAATTTTTAAGAGATGCGCTGTTTAAAAAAGGTTCGAAAATACACATAAAGTGGCATAGTTGAGCCAATGTACATAATGAAATTGTTAAATTAGTTAAATAATAGTCATACAGCTTTAATATGGCGTCCAGCTGAGTTTCAGTATTAGGCTAAGTTTACAACCTAACGTATTAGCGTAGCGAGAATACATAAAAATCGCTTCTAACCAACATTTACACAGTCTTTCGTGTTTATCGCTGTGCAAGAAAATAAAAATTATGCAATCTGTTAAAAAATGCTTTTTCACATACTTAAAGCCCAAATAAATAAAAATATACATATGTACATATTTATATAATAAATTAAACATCTCTTCTACTGCTATTATATACAATACAATATGCTTAAGTTTCGGTATAAATTGTCAAAGGGTTGTGGAAACAAAAAAAATATATTAGGGGAATCCCTACGTAGCAATGTATCACACGTTTTGTTGCTTTCCCAACAACAAAATATGTGCTAGATTGGTACGTAGCAACTTTAAATCTAAAATGCTACTCATCGTAAACTCCCCTATTATAAAAAATTAGTCGTGTATAATTTTGCTGCAATTTAAACACTAGCTACTTTTTAATCGCCAGCGATTATGCTGGCGAAGAAGTTTCTTTGGATTGAGCGATTTCCATTGCATCGCGTAACGCTATTACTCTAGGTTGTGAACTTAGCCTTACTTTTATAATACTTTGAAAATATGGTCGTCGTTGAAAACTTACACAGATTCTTGAGTTTGGTACAAAAATATTTACCAAGCCAAGAACGGTGTATTTATTTTGCCCTAGACACAATTCAGTTTGAGAATTTGGTATAAAAAATGTTTCTTGCCAAATGAACACAGTTGACAGAAGTTTAAGCGCCTACCACACGTCCATTATTCGAACGCAAACGCGAACGTATACATTTCAACATGTTTTGTTAACGTTCGCGTACGAAAAGAAGAAATCAAATCAGCGTTCGCCTATGTTATGTAGAAAAAATTCTCGCTGTTGTTCGTACTCATATATACTATGCAACTTATAGCTGCATTTGTGAAGGCATGATGTTGAATCATTAGTACCCAAACAAACTTTAAGCGTGTAGGGGTGCCTTATTGATGCATATTTCACCACTGGTGTATTAAATATACCAACCAGTGTTACCACTCGACAATATTTTTAGGAACAAAAAATCCTACCAAATCAGTTTCCAAACTACCAATTTTTTTTAATCATCAGATATTGATATTTTATTTCGTTTCTGATTTTACTTCATGCAAAAGTATGAATCTTTGATATTAATTCAATTTATATCAATTATTTTATGTCTAAAATGTAAAAAAAATACAATCGATATAAACATTTTATATTTGGTAACAAAAAAAATGTATTACTGTGCTCGCGCAATTTTATTTTTATTTATTTGTTTTCATTTAACCATGATGCAATAAAATTACGGAATGTCAGCAACATAATCTTAATATTTCGGTACGAGTTTTAGGCCATTTTAGCACGCTTTCAGTACGCTTTTCTACTTTCACATCACCATTGTATTACCGCCATTCGACAAAATTTATTTAAAATTTTTACAAATGTTCTAATAAACGAATACTATGCAACAACAGCTCAATGCATTTTTGACATTTCGAATAGGATTTATTTTCTATTATAACTTCAAAACTTTGATAGGATTGCAAAACATCTTTAAAATTTGGAATCGGAAATCCAAATCGATGAGAAATCAATTTCGAACGAAACCAGAACAGCCCTGAAATGAAACTACCAATTTATCAAAACGGCAACACTGATAGCAGCTCTACTTGTGGTATGTATAATAAGCTCATATTAAAACAGGCAGTGTATTATGTACACACACACTAGCTTTGTTTCTTTACTTTCCTAGCAGATCATTATCAGGAAGAAGAATGGGAAGAATTACAGAATTACGCTCACAGCGAGTGAAATATAGAAAAAGTCAAGAAACGCAAACTAGCAGAAACTAGCTAGTAAACACCTGACCGATGCTTTTGACAACTGAACATATGTATTTGCTGCGAATTTTTAATCGCATTTTATGTTTAAAAATTGTTCACAAATACTCAGGTTTTGCCACACTTTATCAAATTTAATAAATCGCCCATTTTTATCAAAAAATACAAAAATATGTAAAAGAAGCAAATCAAAGTAGCTGTGCCTAATCTCTCTAATGTTGGAGCAACAGCTGAATTTTTCACCGCATAACGTGAAAATTATGTGTTTCTTGTAATTTGCTTTTGTAATTTTTTACTTATATTCGGCTAACACTACCTTGTGTAAATGCGCCTATCTGTAAAGAAACAAAGCTACTGTGTGGTGTATTCAATATTCATTTTTTGGTGAATTCTTTGGTCCACTGTCAATTGCTCTCAGAATTTGTGATGTGCTGAGTCGCTACTTTTAAGTATTGATCGATACTCGGTACCGATTTAAAAAGTATCAAATACTTTCGATGCTCGGTACCGAAATCTTGGAATTTCTAATAAAAGCGCGCAACAGCCAAAAATATGAGTTATATGTACACATACATATAGTGTCAGCTATTAAAAATAAATAATATTGCCACCAGAACTATTGCAATTGGAAAGACGGTTGCGATAAGTAAAAGAAGGCGAGAGTGTGTTTTGCGACATCAGTATCAGGGCGAATTTAATAAGGTGGTGTTACCGGCGTATCTGAATTTTTCGCCGTGGAGGACATTACATCAAAATTACGTGTTTGTTGTAGTTCATACTAATGACATTATGAATATCTGCGTATAATTTGTTAGTGTAATTTTTTACTTATATACGGCTAACACCACCTTATTAAATTCGCCTTTATCATTATTGTGCAGATTTAATTGCCTGCCTTGTTCGACGCACACATTATACTTTGCTTCACTTAACTACATACATACAAACACATTGCTCATCTCTTGAGAAAGGACCGTCTTATTTGTACATTTTGGGTTTTTAGGCGATGTCTTATAAAATATCAATAATTTTTACCCCCAAAAGTAGCCTATGTCGAGATAGGTCCTTTTCCCTTTAAAGCCCCATTTCATTGGATTCCCAAACAATATTTTAACGTTTAACTAGCCAAAGATGTAGTTCAAGATGCCCCTATAATAGAATCTTAATTAAAATATAAAACAATTTCAAAGGAAACTGATTTTTTTTTAATTCAAAGTCAAACCATCTAAAGTGACTTAAGCTACTTTAATTGAACGGCACAGATATAATGACGAAAGTTTAGTGTGTCGAATCGGTATCGGGTACCGAAAAGGAAGTATTGGGTACCGAAATTTTTTTCAAGTATTGGGTACCGAGAATTCAGCACATCACTACTCAGAATGTCGCCTGAATAATTTCAATGACATTTGTTAACGAGGAGCTATTTGTGAACCAAATGAAAAAAGTGGCGCATTTTAGGAGCTTTAGGAGCATTTTTTCGTACTAATCTCAGTGAACAAATAGTACCAAAATGATAAAGTAGAATTTTTATTTGAAAGAAATACTGGTGGAATAACAAATACACCAAAACGTTCTTTTTTCTTCAGTCTAATCAGATTTGTACCATAATCCATAAATTTACACCAATTTATACACCAGTGTGCTACTTGAGATATACTTATAAATAAGTTACAACATTTAATAAATGAAATACAGATGTTTTACATATCACTATATACATACATTCAGATGTTCATGCCTTACTTCCAAGCTGGGCCTGCTAATTTTGCTTCATGCTGGTCAAATCCTGTAATTTCAATTAAGAAAGTATTAAATTATTATTTAATAACCCATAAGTTTTTGTAAGTTACTCTTACCAAAGCTTTTTGCGGTCAAAGAAGTCCACCAATGTCCCCTATATGCAGTTAGGGGTTAGAATGGCAGTATTGTTTCTATATACTTCATCGCCTTTTCTGAAGATTGAAGTAACTTATTTATCTGAACACAATTTTTCCGACAAATGATGCAAACATATGAAAGTTTTTCATTGTAGCTGGGTAGCTTTTTAAATTCTAATGGAAAACATTTTAGTTTAAAATACTTTTCATACCTAATTGACTGAAAATAAATTAACGTTTTTGTTTTAAAAGTGTCTAGTTTTATTTTGCTTGTTGAAAATTGTGTCGCACTACAACTTGTTGGGACAATATTCTACAATGTTTCATTTTAGTTTTTAAAATACGCATTTTTAACGCTATTTCTTTAATGTCGTTTGTTCTCCTCAGTAAAAAAATAGAATATTTTATAAAGATCGTTTTTGTTTTGCGAATGTTTCGTTTTAAAGTCGTAAGTACAAATACTGTATTTTTTATTTTGAATGAAGTGAAATTATATCAAAAAAAGTTATTTTACAATTACTTTTAAAAACTTGCGTTTTACCTGCATCATTTTCTCTGTGTATATTATTCTTTTCAGTGGGCAATTGGAATTGGCGTCACACATCCACCAGACTTTAATTCCGTATTTTGCTGGTTTCGATGGAATATACTGGGTGAAGCGCGTGTGGCCTCGGTACGGGAACAATTGCTCATCAATAGTTATGTGGGCACCCGGAACATATAGACGTTCCAAGTTGCTCATGAGCATGTTCCAAATGTCGTCAATGGCGGCCGATTGGATTTCTAATAGTCGAGCGGGTCTCGTGTTGCCGTTATCGAATCGAATATATTGTAGAATAATTTTATATCGGTGTGCAGATATCGTCGCCCTGTAGATAGGGTTTCCGTTGTTGCTCCACAACTCAAGAGCAGGCTGACTGTTTGAACCGAATATACCGGCAAACAAAGTTAGGCCAAAAAAATGCGTATATTTCATTTTCAGTTACAGGTTTCGTCCACGTTCGCGGTGTCTGGTCAGGATTCTTGGCACGCCATAGGCGGCATAGTTCCTGGGCTTTTCGTTTCGTTTCACGCAGAATTATACTAACGATTTCCGGTGCTATTAGCGATTTAAATATTGAAACCGGGGATCGCATAATCCCTGGAGCCGGGCCTTCGCGACCCACAATAGCGCAGTTATGCGCACGAAATCTACCTGTGCACGGCGGAGAACTTGATCAAAGCTTGCCATCCTTTGAACGGTATTTAATAATCGAGATCACCGAACAAGGCTCCTCGTCCATATCGACGGCTTCAAGCGCTTCGGGTGCAGCTGCAGCGCCTTCATATAAATATTCCAATTCCTCATCATCGTCATATGGAGTCTCGGTTTCTATAACGGTCTCAGTCTCAGCATCGGAAGCCGCATCTTCTAACGTCGGCACATAATCAGGATCCGTGACGTCGTCGCCTTCGAATGCATTGATTTCCTCGGCTTCTCCATCAGCACCGGGCAACCATATTGCCAACCTTTCTTCCATTTGCCTCCTCTCTTCTTCCGATAAATTTTGATATCTTGTGGTGCGATTCACCACGTCCATCATATCATCATCGATACTGGATGCTGAAGCCATTTTTCTATATGTAAACAAACAGAAAAAATTACACTTACCTTATATTTTTGTGGAAAACCCCAAAATAAATTCACTTAAATAAAAACTTACAAGTGTTTGCACTACAGCTTCACTCGCTTCAATAAAAACTCACAGATGGTTACACTACAAACGCTGCTGCTATACACGTTGCATGCGCTCAATTCAATCNTCCATATGTAAACAAACAGAAAAAATTACACTTACCTTATATTTTTGTGGAAAACCCCAAAATAAATTCACTTCAATAAAAACTTACAGGTGTTTGCACTACAGCTTCACTCGTTTCAATAAAAACTCACAGATGTTTACACTACAAACGCTGCTGCTATACACGTTGCATGCGCTCAATTCAATCTGAACGTTCTATATAAAGTTTTACAGGCACCACCAAAAAAACTAATATTTTTAATTTTCAAATCGAAACGGTTTCATAACAGCTATTAGATGAGAAATATTATTTATTTCGCCGGTAAGAGTTATAATACAGCGTTTATTTTTTACGTTGCTTGATAACAGTTATTTTCCAGCTTTTATTTTTTACTTTGTCTGATAAGTGTTATAAGTTAACGATATCTATGAAGATGGAGATGAAGTGGAAGGTAAATATGATGAAAACAAAAGTGAGATAGTGAAAAAACTCTCATCAAGCAATGTAAAAAATAAATGTTGCGAAATAACTCTTGTGAGCAACGGAAAAATAAATCTCCGGCATAACAGTTATCAGGCAGGGTAAAATATAAACGTTGGGAACATTGGGAAGTTATACACACGTTTATGTGCAAAAGGTCTGCACCTGGTTGAACCTCCTAGGGTTAAAGTACAAAAAAGGTCCTTTGGCGCCAAATCATATGTGTTTTCGTTTAAAAGAGGATATGTTTTTTTTCTCAGTGCATGCACAAATTTAGTCAACTGAATGAGTGGTACTTATTAACTACCAAGGACTAAACTCAATTTATGTCCTCTTCATACTGTTGATAGTAATAAATTAGTGTCAATTTCTCCACGCTGCACTTCCAACCGTTGGCGGTTGTTCCGTGTATATGGGCAAATCTAAAAAACAGGTAACCTTTGTGTTATTTAGTAAACTATATCAAGCTTTTGGATATAATTCATTGACGTATACTTGAAGCCTAAAAAAAAATTTGGATCAATTTGCTGAATAACTTTTGAATTATAGGTGTTTAAATTAAAAAAATAATAATGAAAACAAGTGAATTTTTTATGTAATTTTTAAGAGGGGCACAATTAATTACGTCATAACTTTTGGAGCACACCATATTCTGATTTAAAATTAAATGGGCATTTAGCACTTATGTGTACACTTCATATGTAGTAGGTAAGAAAAGTGTGCCTTAAAAAATAACGAAATGGCAAGTAACTCAAAGTCTGTAACTCTACATTTCACAATTTTCAAAATTTTCGGTTTATCGCGTATAAGTTGGTATTCTACAAACAATTACGAATAATTTGATACACTGGCAAGAGGTGTGCTTTCAGAATAAACTAACTTTTAAAAATAAAATATTCTGCGATCTTGCGCGTAACTTTTATTCCAAAAACACCTTCATTGAATGCACATTTGGAAAATACGTCGAAACGATCTAAATCTTTCTATAACTGCTAGTCCTTATAAAATTACATTCACCTGTAAAATGCTTCAAAAAATTTGTCTGTAGAAGTGTGTAAAAACCCTGATTTACTACTTTTAATGATGCTCCTTCTTTTAGTCAGAATATTTCGAGAGTGGTATCAAAGTAACTTCTTTCGACAAATGTTCTGATAGTTGGTATTACTTAACTGGAGCCTTCTAAATTCAATGGCGTCCTCAGTTTTGCCCTATTGGCTCCACTTTTCGAGATAGCGGTACCTGAAACTTTGCTTACATTTTAATTATTTTATAAAAAGGTCCCTGAGTTTTGAAGATATTTTACTAAAATTTTGCACATAACAGTTTTTTAACATTACCTTAACTATTCCATAAAATCATCGAAATCGGTTAACTAGAACATCTAGCTCTCATACAACTGATTGATCAGAAACGTTGTTTTGCGTTATAAGTCCTCCAATTAAATAGGTTAAAATTTAGTATAGGTCCAATTTAACATATAACACGTATACAATTTGTTATTCAGATATGAAGTTAGAGTTATAGCGCAAAAACACATATCTGAGTAACAAGTGTTAATGTGAACCTATTTCGATAATTTTAAGGAATAATTAAGGTAATATTAAAAAACTGTTATGTGCAAAATTTTAGTAAAATAACTTCAAAACTGAGGGAGTTATTTATAAAATAGTTAATATTTAATCATATTTTCAAGTACCGCTATCTCGAAAACCGGAGCCGATCTGAGTGAGCTCAACTTTCAAAATCTTTGCTCAAAGTTTACAACTTATTCTTATTCTTTTGTTTTCTATTTCATGTTTATTCCTCGTCTAACTTTCGAAGCACTTGATGAAAATGAATTACACTTACATTAATCGATTTATTACGAGATTACGAATAAAATAATATATAAAACATAGGTGTGCTCACAAACTAAAAAAATTCAAAATGTTTTTTTTTTTGAAAGTGTACCTATTTTTTAGATTTACCCATATACCCTGCAGTGAAAAATTATCAATTGATAAAAATAACCAACTTGTAGATAGCTTTTTGGCGGGTTTTCGATAAATACCTCACTTTGAATACGCATTCAGGAGTTTGTTTTCTTTAAAAGTCTCTATTTAAAAATACTCATACACAAAATTGCTTTGAATACATATTTTACTGCACTTCACAAATACTTCTTCGAATTCACGACAAATAAAAGGGAGTTCGAAATTTTGTAGTATCATTTTGACGGAATTCTGACCTACTGCAGAATATGTAAACAAATAAACAAATATGGAATGTTGAATGTAAATTAAATTAGAAAAAATTAAAACAAATCAAAAAATGTTTTTTATTGATATTTTATGTCCAAAAGTAGTTAGTTACAAGTTAGTTAGCATGTAATGCAGAGGTATCCAGGTCTGACTTTTCTACGGCCATCGCCCCACAAAAGTAGTTAGCTTTTTTCGAACAAAATATAGAGTTAATCTTTAGCACTAGTGTTCGCGTAAACAGACTAAAGTTAGGTATAAGCTAACGTTACTCCCTGCAGGGTACATACACTCCACATATTTAGAAGCTTTTATGGACTCTTTATGCGGCGCGTAGATCCAGGGTGTTTCTAGAAATTGCATTTAAGTCCCAATTCGATTAGATTTAGAATACG